GTCGTAGTAGTCGTAGTAGCAGCAGTAGCAGTAGCAGTAGCAGAAGTAGTCGTACGGGTGGAGCTGATTCCTGCCGCCCTGCCGGAGTTGTTGTGTCTCTCGCAACTCTTAATCGAATTGTTTGTTATAGCGGTCAGGGCTAAGTACTGCTGTGACGACGAATAATAGTCGAGACGGTTGTTATTGTCGTACCAGTTCTCGTCGCAGTCGCAGTCTTCGTCGTATTCGTAGAAATGGCAGTGCTGCCACTAACTGATCGCTGTTGTGAAAAGTATCAGTATTTGTATATTTGCTTGCGTCTCTGTTGCTGTTGAAGCTGTGTTTCTCATTAGCATTTGTGTTTGTCCGCTTCTATCGCCACCAGCACTATAGTCGTTGTTGCTGCCGCTTGCTTGCATTGTAAGGAACCACTTGGCCAACATGTGGGGCCCTCGGGCATTGGAGCTTGCCATCATGCAATTGTCTAAGACTACCCCATCAGCCCATTAGCACCTTTTTGTAGAGGTGCCTCACTTAAGGTTGTATCATTATAAGGATTGCATGTGGGCTTTTGGCTTTTCGGAGCTTCAAAGATACAGCGTGCTGTGTGGTTTTCTTCGGGCAAAGAGTAAAGGCTGCTCGTGGGGGAGAGGCCCGGGCCGTGGCGGATTGGATATAGCTCGCGTATCTTTACGCAACATGTGTGAAAGCGACGGCGACGCCCAAATCCTAAACCCCGGAGAAATCCCAAATGTACCTCCATCAGACCCTTCTAAAGCCTTGCAACACCCGAAACCCGAAAGCCCAGGCCCAGCAGATCTGTTGTGTCATGCGGAATCTCTTGTCCCAAACCGACGGCACACCATGCACCTGGTCTGGCAAGTCCGGTTGCGACAACATACACCCCAGGCCTAGGCCCTGCACCTTCCCCTAAACCCTCTTCCCCAAACCCTAAACCCTATTCCAAAAATAAATTTCTGCAATGCGAGAGGGAAAGAATTCCAAGAAGTGCCCGGCAAGTTGTGCATCCAGGCGAGACTCAGCCGAAGAAAAGCTTGAGTTCTCATCTCGGCAACAGCTTGCTTCACATGGTTGAGCTTTTCGGATTTTGGAGTTTCGGTCTTGGGGAGGAGGGTTTCGGGGTTGAGGATTCTACTTGGGTTTAGGGTTTGGGCAAAAAGGGGGCTTAGGGTTGTTTAACATTGCGCTCCTCGCCCCATATTCAGCAGTGCTGTGTTCTTTCCGGCCGTAGGAAATGACCCCGTCAGGGGCGGTGGGTTTGAGAGGGGCTGTTTTCGAATACATGATATCGGGGGAGCGTGCCTGCAACTGAACGAGTGAACATCAACAACTCCTTGCAAGCCGCGGCATTGGGCCATATGCTTCAGGTTTGGATGGTTCTACACCACAGTCTCCCGCGTTCTTCTGGTTCCCAAACCCTCAACCCTAATTCGAGTTCACACAGACCACAATGTAGGGGCCTTAATAATTAGAACAGGGGGTTTTAGGGGTTCCTTATTATTGTATTTATACTGTAAAGGAGCAAGCTATAAAGGAGCCCAAAGCCCTATTCTAAACATTAAGGCCCCTATACATTATTTGCCACTGTCAAGGCCCTTCCTTCAGGACTCCCTGTGCTTCTTGCGCGAGGCTCGCTTGACAAAGTGCACGGGCAATAGAGGGGTGAGAAAAGTAACTGGTAGTCCATTGCCATAGGGTTCCCTTGTCTAAGGGTTTAGGGCTTGGGGTTCCAAATGGTTTCAAACCCCAAAACCCAAACTTTGGGGTGTAGGGTTTAGGGTATAGGAAGCTGTCCTGGCGTGACGTTGCAAGCCAGTTTCAGTTGCAAAAGGGTATAGGAAAGCTGTAGTACGTCATACCTCAAAACCCCAGACTAGTTGATTTTTGAGGGTTTAGGCAACTCCGTTGCGGGAGTTGGGGCGACTTCGAAGAATTTAGTTCACTTAATTCCCGACCTGGAACATTACTTGTGCAATTTGTGAAAATGCCCACTTCTAGTCCTTTCCAAAAGTATACATTACTATTTGCCCTAAGTCTGCATTTCAGTTAATGTAAGGGCTTATAGAATTACCTATATTATTTTGGCGTTCCTTATTATAGTCATAGTATAGTGGGCCCCAAAACCCTATTCTAATTATTAAGGCCCCTACATGATAAAGGCCCCGGCCCCTCCATGAATCCTGGTCCCAGCCTGAGGTTCTAAGTAATCACCAATATCTCTCCCGATTTCCTGAATACAGCTATGAACTATAGCCATACTGTAAATAAATATGCCCCAGAACTCTATTCTGTTTTTTTGAAGGCCCCTCTGTTATTCGTGGCGGTGAGGCCCTCGTTCTTTGATGCTTCTCAGAGTCACACCGCCGGAAAAAGTCCGGAGTTTGTGGATTGTCTTCGGAGCTTCTAAAGTTTGTTTGTGATGGTTGCTTAGGGGTTTCGAGGATTCGGTCGAGCTCTTGGATTTCCTGTCTTCCGAGATCCCATCTCTTGGCCCAAAAAGCCCTAAACCCGAAACCCTAGACCCTTTAAGCCCTAAACCTAAATCCGAGCGTCAGGCGAAGGCTGCGCAGCAGAAGCGTCGTCCTCGGTCCCTCGGGCTGGGTCACAGTCGATCCTAGGGCCTTTAGTCTAGGGGTCAGGATAGGGCTTATGGGACTTATATGGTCTACAGGGCTTAGAGATGTATATAGGGTTTACGGAAAAGGGTTAGGGGATAGGCTTTTGTATGAACGGTCTTAACCGGTCTTGTAGGGTTTATGGTGGTTTATGGCTTTGGGCTTTTGGGCTTGTCGGGCTCATGGGACTTCCAGGGCCTGCAGACGGTTGAGAGGTCTTGTAGGGCTTGCAGGTTTTATAATTATAGGGTGTATAGGGTTTATAGGGTTTAGCGGTTAGGGTTGATGAGTAACTATTTCTTATCAGACTTTTGCATATAGAGGTATGAAAATCAGGAAGACAGTGGCCCGGTATAGCCTCTGCGTACTCCTACTGCAACATGCAGGGCCCTTCCTTGGGATTCAGGAGGCTTTCCGGTTGGGCGTTAAATGTAGACCAATGAACCACCCGACCTTAAAACGGATGAGGGTTTAGGGTTAAGGACCCTAATGTGAAGGCCCTAAAAGCAAGGGTTATTCATCCAGTGTCGATTATGCTCTGATATGATTTAAGGGTCTGGGTTTGAACCCTAAGGCCGTTGCGTCCGGCTCATTCTTTCAGAAATCTCCCAGAGCGCGGCTTCGGAGTACAAATGCCAGCAAAAAGACTGCCTTCTTGGGACCCTAATATAGTACCCTAAATCGTATAGGATCCTGATTATAAGGACCCCAAAGTAAGATGCCCTAATTTTTGCATCATCACAAATCCGAAGCCTTGTGACCTAAGCCCCCCTCCCAGTTTACATGCCTTTCTTGGTTCAGATGCACGCGCGATCCCGCGCGTGGTTGACTTCAGATGTAACTAGGCTACGGAGCCATGCTGGCTGGATGCGTTGCAGAAGTCGTTGTATCCTTGCCTGGCTGTACCGAGCATGAGGATCCAACCGTTGTGCCCGAAATTTGAAACCCGAAGCCCTTGCCAATCCGCAAACCCTGAATCCCTCAAAGCCAAGAGCCCCAGATTCCCATACCGAAAGCTTTTCTTCGAGGTGCTTGGTTGCCTGCCACGCAGGTAGCAGCCGCTCTGTGTCCCTGGCGCCCCTCTCAGGACCCGGTGTTCGGCGATTCGCACGAGCAGTAGTAGCAGGAACAGTCGTACTCGTACACACTCTCACTCGCAGTATGAGCTGAGCTTGCCTTGCCTGCACCATCCCGCACCCTCCATAAGGGAATCATAGAAGGATCCCTATAAGGGAATCATAGGAAGGATGCCGAAGATTAGTTCGTGATCTAGGGTCCAGCTAGCTCCTGGTGGTAACGACACCACTCCAGACGAGGACATGGTCTGCGAGCCTGGAAGCTCCGGGAAGGAAGTATACCCAGCAGACCCAACGCCCTCAAGAAAGAAGTGCTCTTAGCTCTGGGGCTTTGGGGTTTGCCCTATGCGCGAACAGGTCTTTGGGCAAGGTAGCTGCTCAAAAACAAACGCGAGATCCCAGGTACTCGCCTACCTCGTCATGGAGGAAGGCATGTCGCTCCACGATGCCTGGGCACTCTCCTGAGCAATTTAGTCCTATGCAGTGGCCTCAATAGTTGGGGTTACACTCCTAGGCTTTTTGGATAGAAGTATGGTGCAGAAAGCCGCAATGCCCATTTTAGTTGCTCAGGCTTCTGTAATGGGCCCAGCGCACACGCCCACCTCAAGAAGCGGTCCCAGGGGTTCCAGCGAGCCCTTTCGGATGCGAATTGAAAAGTTACTGAGAGTATGTGTGGAGAAACTTGACGATCGCATCCAGTTTAAGTCAGTTATCTGTTGGTACGTAATTCCGTAATTCGGCTGAGGGCATCTTCAGACCCGGTTAGGGGTTGCGGGGAAGTTGTTTTCCGACACCGGGTCTCGCCTAAACACGGGAAGCCTAGGCTGCGTGAGTCACAGACAAGCCCTTAGGCCTAATTAACCCCTCACAGTAATAACTCGGGAGAACTGAAGAGTCGGAACCCTACAGCTCCAGATACTTTCAGCTTCGAGTTTCAGCCTCACTAGCCAGTAGCACACCCTGTTGTAGTATGTATTGCTGATCTTGTTTGTGTGTTTGATCTTTTGTTCTTGTCTTGTTTGGGTATGTGCACAGACATATACATGCCGAACGGCAGACTACATGCAAGATACCGAGAAGTGAAGCAAGGACTGTATGTTAT